AATAATAATAATAATAATAATAATAATAAGCGATAAATCGAATAAGGTCTCTGTGAACGGAAAGGGGTGGGGGAAGCAACAGCAAATCCCGACTCCGTGACGTCACAATGTTTTACGAACCGGAAGTTCGCACGCACTCAATGTGTAAACATTCAACGTCCGAGAGTAAGGAGGGAGAGGGGGAGGGGGAGGGGAGAAATATCTTTCGGAAAGGTTCATTCAACACATATTATTAATTACATCGACAGAGATTGTGTGTGTGTGTGCGTGCGTGACGTTTACGTCGATGACGATGGCGACGAACGTTTATGGATTCGACATTTTTTCTTGTCGTCTGATATCGTCGTCGTCGTCGTCGTCGTCGTCATAAAAATTCGAGCCTTCGAGGGTTTACGTATTCGTTTGCCGTTCTCTCTTTCAAGCGATTCTTTTCTCCATGTTTTTTCCCCCTATCCTTTTCGTCATAAAGTCACGACTGATTGTGTAATTATTATTATTATTATTATTATTATTATTATTATTATTATTATTATTATTAAAATTTAACCGTGTGACGTCGCGCGAGTTGCCCATCCCGATAAGCAAATGTTTTAAACGTTTAACCGTCGCTTTAATATTTCATTCCTTCATTATTATTATTATTATTATTATTATTATTATTATTATTATTATTATTACGAGAGTGGCGTTGGCTGGCGCCGGTGACGAAATAAATTCACAATCACAAAATACACAAAAAATTTATATTCAACATACAACGAAAATGAATTTCGACTAATTAACTTTAGTAGTTTCGCAAACGAAAACGTGAAAATCGGTTGGGAAAATAAATAATAATAATAATAACGACGACGGCGACGACGACGACGATGTTAATAATAATAATAATAATAATAGTAATAAATTTTAAAAAAATTTCAATTTTCCGACGTTTGTCCTCATTATTATTATTATTATTATTATTATTATTAACATTTTCGGCGAAAAATCATTCAGGTGATTTCAATCGGAAAAAATTCTTTTTCTTTTTGACGTTTTTTTTTTTTTTTCGCAACCGCAGACAAAGTTCGGAGAAATCATTTAAATTAACCATAAAACAAAAATTATTCGATTTCAATGATTCGGCGAGTCTTCTTTGCGAAAGAGGAATTTTTGCTGTCGTTTTTCCCCCCCCCCTCCTCCTCTTCCTCTAACAACAAACGCGATTCGTTCATTTTGAAATCGCATCATGACTTTTTTTTTTTTTTTTTCCTCGGTTCTTTCGCGATAATGGGTGAATCAACTTTTTTTTGTTTGGACTCCGTGTTCTAAGCTCAAACACAACAAACAAAACAAAAAAAAAAAAAAAAAAACTCATTTCAGTCAGCAGGAACGAGAAATCACGAACGCTAACAAACAAACAAACAAACAAAAAAGAAAAATTTTTTTTTCTAAATCGTGTTTTTGCGTAGGAAACTTCTGGAACCTGTATTGATTACAAATTGTTTTCCTCCCCCCTCCCCCCCCCCGAACGCACGATGGCATTTAATTCGGCCAGCGAATTGCTTTTGAATTCGAATTAGGTAAACCCCAGCAACAGCAGCAACAGCATAAGCAAAATCACCCACGTAAATCGTTGAAAGAAAAATTACAAAAAAAAAAAAAAAAATAAGAAAACGGTTTGTAACAATTCGCACAATTTTTTTTATTTATTTACTTATCATTATCATTATCATTATTATTACTATTATTATTATTATTATTATTTTAAAAAACCGTTACAAAAATAGAAAGAATTTTTTAGAATAAAATAAATTTCGTATAAATTTTAATTTATTTTATTTTTCTATTACAAACTCTTCCTTAACCAAACGTTACGTTACCAATAATAATAATAATAATAATAATAATAATAATAATAATGATAATGATGATAATGATAAAAACACCCCAACAACCTGAAAACAAATTAGCAACGATTCGAATATTATTATTATTATCATTTAAAATAATTTGCTGTTGTTTTCGGAATGACGACCCGATAACGCAATTACGACTGCAAAAATAATTTTCCACAAACGAAAGGGTCAAACGGAGAAAGAGAGAGAGGCGGGGGGAGTGTGGGGTGGTGGTGGTGGAAAATAAGCAACGTTTGTTTGGCAATGTCATCGAAATGCATTCGTGAATTTATTTATGTGCAGCAAAAATTTTTCTTCAAATGTTTTTTTCGCGCACGTGGTCGTGAAAAAAATCAACGCGCGGCGTTCGTTATCAAAGTCAATTTCCCCCGCACCCACCCCCTCCCCCGAGCGTTCGCGTTTAAATTTCCATTCGTTTTTTTTCCGCGCTTCTTCCGTATTCGTGGTACGAAGTTTGGAAAAAATAAAGAAAAAAATTTCCCATTCAAAATCCTCGTCTTCGAATGGCGAAAGGCGCCATGTCAAAAATTCAAGTCTCAATGCTAATCCTCAATAAGGTTTATTAAAATTCAAGGTTGATAACGGGCCATTCCGTATTATTTTTTTTTTTTTTTACGACTCCCCCTACTCCCTCCTAAAACCATACACACAAATCACACTAACATTTACTTTTAACAAAAAAAAAAAAAAAAAAAAAAAAAATGAAGATGATGATGATGATGATGATGATGATGAGAAACGAAAATTTTATTTCGACGACGATGATGTTGGTTGTTGACGATGGATGACACCGTCCATATTTTTGGCAAAAATGTCGTAACGCTCAAAAAAAAAAAAATTTTTTTTTTTTTTTTAAACTCTAGAATAAATAATTTTTAAACAATTAAGCCAAATTAAACTTTTTCTTTCTTTCTTTCTCTCTTTTTCAAAATTTAATTTTTCATTGTTTTTATATTAAGGATTATCGTCGTCGTCGTCGTTGTCGACGTCGTCATCATTATTATTGTTGTTTTAAATGTTAAATTTCCATCAAGGATAAATTTTAAACGATGACGACGTGAGGGACCTTATACTAAATTGGTTTCTTGTGTCAATTCGACGCCGCCGTCGCCGCCGCCGCCTATCGCCTATCACCGCCGTTTGTACGTTTGTACGTTTGTTTCACTCTCTCCTTCATTTCCTTTCTTATTCGTATCGCGAAATGAAATTTATAAATAAAAAACAACAACAACAACAACAACACTTCACTAAACAATCTAATTAAGAAATTTCTTCTTATTCTTTCTTTTTTTTTCCTTTTACTGCGTGCTACAAACAAACAACCAAACAAACAAACAAACAAACAAACAAACCACTCATTTCTCATTCGTGACGTATACATTTACGAAAAGTACGTAAAACGTTCAAACGCCGTATTAGTCGCCGCACCTTTCATGTCATAACGCGAATAATATTTAAAAAAAATTTTTTTTTTTTTTTCCATTTTGAAACTTTTTTTTTTTTTTTTTTGAGCGAAAAGCAGAAGAGAAAGAAAGAAAATGTGCGTGCGAGTGCGTGCGTGTATATATTTAAAAGAAAACATTTTTTGTTTTCGTGAATAAATTTTCAATGCTACTAAAAAAAAAAAAAAGTCGCAAACGTATGGGGGCGGCCATTTTGGCTTTTTGCCGGTTATATGTTTTTTTTTTTTTTTTTTTTTATTAAGCTTGTGTCTTCGCACAAAATGACTTATTAAACTCAAAATTTATCCCCCCCCCTAGAAAAAAATAAATAATAATAATAATAATATAATTTTTTTTTTTTTGAATAAAAACTCAACTTCACTTCCTTTCTCTCCCTCTCTCTCTCGGATTGTTCAAATCAATTTCCCATCGATCCCCCCTCCCCCCCCCAAAAAAAAAAAACGCACGCTTTCCCATCGGTATCCCGCGAGTCGATCGGGAGAGAGAGAGAAATGATAATGATGTTACACGAAGGATTTTTTTTTTTTTTTTTTAAATCGGTAAAATGTACAATGACCTCTCACTTCAAGAAGGTCAGTCAGAAAAACTCTAATGTAATGTGTTAAAGACCATCACAACAACTTCAATTTTAAAACGCCGTTAAAAAATAAAAAATTTTTTCCTATCACTTTTCATTTAATTACGATCTGCCCCTCCCCACCCCGCTTCTTGAGGAGAGAACGCGGTTTCAGACTTTTCCCTTTAAAATATGAGCTTTCTTATTACTATTATTATTATTATTAAAAAATATTTTCAAATCCCTGAAAAATCAAAAAATTTTTTAATTTAACCATCAAACTCGAGAAATATTCGCGGCGCTTTCGTTTCTATTTCTACGAAACATTATTATTATTATTATTATTATTATTATTATTATTATTATTATCATTATTATTATCAACACATCAAAATTTTACGATTATCACAATACGACAAAATATTTCATAAAAAATTTTTATTTTTATTTTTATTTTAACTTTGATGTTTTGGCAGGGACGCAAAATAAAGGCACACAGGTTGATTTTTCTTTCGAATTCGAAATTGAATTGACGCACACGCACACGCACACACACGCACACACACGCACACGCACATACACGCACACGCACACGCACAAAGGCACTCAATCTCAATAAAAAATTTAACACACAATTTTTCCTTCTCGCTTGCAATTAAAAGAATCAAACGATTGCAATCGTAC